ATCATAGTCTACCTTTCCTTCTGCCCAGAGGAGTTTCTATTACATTTCAATTTGAATAGAAAAAATATTTATTTACCTTCTAATAAAACGTTTTATTTTCTATGTCATTGGCAAAAAGTGGCAAAGTTGGAGGTGTCAGCGAAAAGAAGAAATACTTCAAATCATTAGAAATGGCCATTAAAGGTGTTGCATGCAGTGTTCACAGGAGATGCACACAGGACACTGCAGCATGCTCATATAGATAACAACAGTCGGTGTCAGGACTACATACTAAAATAGTTCACTGTTTCATGTTAACAAGCACTGCAACATCTTTTGCTCTACTGTCACATCTTCCCATATAACCATCAAACAAGAGGCTCTGGCATCCAGACCACGCCTGTCCTGTCCCACTTTCATCCTCATCTTAAGTGAAGATGTGTTGGATAGCTGAACTCCATTTCAGCACTGTACAGTTCTCAGTCTATCATTAAAATGTTAGTAACAGCTCAAACGCGAGGGCATATTTTTTCCATGAGTTGCAGAGAAGCCTGACTTCTTTTCAAATTCAGAGAATCAAGACTCAGGGTTTCACCATGCTAGGTCAGGTTGGTTTCATGACAGCAATGATCCCGTCACCAAGTGAAAGTCCCGGGTGCTTTGCATTGTGCTGGGTGCTTGTTTGCTTATGTGTGTCCTCCTGTTTTGTGGGTTCATTGTGCCTTAGGCGGTGCTTATGGTCAGCCTGGCTGAGATTAACCCATTCCTTTATGGTAGTTTAGAACCGTGTTGTCTGAAACCATCTGCCTCAACATCCGCAAATACAATCTTGGAAATAGACACAACCCTTTGGAAAAAAACCCTTTGCATCCACAACACAGCTCTCACCTGAGACGTGCCAGTACTGGTTTTTATTCTGGAGCAGGCTCCAGGTAAACTAGTAATTCCACTTCTGACTGAAGATGATTAAACAGCGAGTGACGTTTAACTAGCTTTCAAACATGAGTAATGATATGCTGTGTGCTGTCACTGTTTTGTGCTACTCTGCATCCAGCAGTGGGACTAATCAACACTGATGTTTTTATGAATTCTCCCTAATCGAGTGATGACTTGGGGTGTTAAAATGCACAGGTGTTAGAAATCATTTCTGAAAGCCGGAAACCTGTTGGTTCATCCCGATTTAACTTGATTAAATTCCTGTAGTGGACTTGATGTATAAAGTGGTATCAGTCCCACGACAATTATTCTTATTTTCTTTGTAATCTGTACCTCACCAGAGTGGAGTAAGCCCTGAAAGGGTAATTTGCCTTGCAAGTGGACATAACTGTAAATACCTGAGTCTATTTCAAGCTAATTCAGCAGGCATGTTGTCTTTTAAGAACAAATACTTTGGTAGGAGGGCCTCAGATGTTATCAGGGTGATAAACTGAACTGAAGATGCATGAAAAGGGCAAAGAAAACAACAATATCTAAGATCCTGTAAGCCACATGAGAGGTTTGAACCAAGGCTCACTTTCTGTCTACCAGAGCCCCTGTGTGTCTCCTCCTTCTATCTTTACTGTCTTTTTGCTGTGTTCACAGCCACGTGCGAGGCCCAGAGGCGTCGGTCTGTACAGGATCTGTCAGGCATCGGGACAGAGTCCAGCCAGGTAAGACTCAGTCGAAGAAAAGACCAGTGCAGCCTGTAGCTCTGTTGACTAAAGACCCCTGTAACACTGTATGGGAATGTGGCTTCTGCTCTGTGTGGCCAGCTAGACTAGAAAAACAACGATTCTGAGCAGCTCGTTTACTAGTTTATTACAGTATTAATAGTTCATTGGTAGTTTAAAAAAACTAACGGTGAGAGGGCCTCGTGTAGAAAGTTTTTTAGCTTCTCAGTTGCAGTGGTAATTTTCAGCTTGTAAATACAGTTTTACACGAAAAAGTGTCTCTGCTTATGGAAAATGGGGAGAATTAAGTTGGTAATATGTCTTTGTAGTATTTCTCTTTCTTGGCATTCTGTTCCTTCGATTTAAATTCAAACCTAGCTTGAGCTGTGTTGTGATGTAACACCCACAATACCTCAATACATGAAACCTAAAAACGTGCATTAGTTTTTTCAATATTAGACCAAAACATGAGACTCCCGGTCGTAGTTCCAAACCAACCCTGCGTTTGGCTGCCAGAGCTGTTGTAGGAAGACATTACCCGTAATTCAGACGTTTACAGTGCAGAGACGCCTATTTTGGAGCATAAAGCCAAAGAAGCCCCCCCAAAGGTGCTGCTCTTTTTCACTAAAGAAAGCAATGAATGCTCCTTACCAAAGCCGCCATTAACATGTTGCACATTATCTCTGTATTCATTGTACTTTTTTTGTTGCTACCCGCACACTACACTTGTTTTTAATGGAGATGCATTTTTCTTGATTCAAATGCAGAAATAATATCAAACATTATCTTTTCAAAAGCTGAGATTTATTTTGTAAGAATGCTAAATTGCTGCTGTTGCTTGTTTGTGGCTCTTTTAATTCTCATTTCAGTCCTCAGTAAGTCATTAGGATTGAGGTCAGATGAGTGAGCATCATATTACTGCCTTGAGTTTTTTCTGTATTTTTAGAGCAATGGAGCCCAGCTCTACACACGCCAGAACTCACCCTGCTATTTCTGCCAGTTAAACAGTTCCATCATCAAAAAACACTGCTGACCTACTTCTACTGACATCCAGCTTCCAGCAGCAAATGCAGCTTCAGACATTTTCTCCCCCTAATTTATCCTTGTATAACAAAACAGGTCGCACTCTTTTCTAAGTTAGTCCAATGACTGAGAGGCCATTTAAAGTCTTTGATTTTAATTACTGCAACGTTTTTGGAAAAGCCCCTTTTAATTGGGGCTCTGTAACCATGCTTCATAACAGCCACTGTCTGGTGCGTATGGGATGGATGTAAGAGACTTGGTTTGATAGCTACAACTATAGGATGCAGTAGTAGTAACCAGGACCCAGTGGTAAACGTGTCTTCACACTCACAAATGTAGAAGCTGTGGCTTCTGTGATTGTTTTTGTTTTTTATCCTGCTGCAGGAAAGCCGGAACAGCAGCCGGTCCTCCAGTCCCAGTGTGAGGACGATACAACCTGACAAAAGCAGCAGCAGAGGATACTTCTCCCCCGATGACCCCACAGGTACGTGGGCCCCCTTTCCTCGGCCTTTCCACAGGTTCAGTCACACACCAGCTTCAGTCTTAAAGTGGCAGAGGACCAGTTATTGTGCCTTCTCTTTTTAACTGCTGGGAAATCCTTCCAGTATGAATGGCACTCTGAAACACGTTCATGTTTAAATGATATTGTTTGGTCACTCAGCATCAGATCAGCCAGGAATCATGCCAGCGACCATGTCCAAAGATGCTGGTCAGGGAGTGTGGCTGTGGCTGAGGGAGTGTTCAGCAGCTCTGTCACAGCCAGATTCTCTCTTTCTCTCCTCTTAGACACTAATGGCTCAGACAACTCCATTCCCATGGCTTATCTCACTTTGGATCACCAGCTGCAGGTAAACCATCCAACCCCAGAGCACTCTTCTGCATCAGGTGTATTTCTGCCACTGATGAGCTCTTTTCCATTTTTGCACTAATGCCGATTGCATGTGTGAAGTTAAAATAGTCCACCTGCACTGTGACATGGATTTAACACACAGGTAATATACGTTAAAGCTTGAACTCTTTGTTTCTTTTTCAGCCTCTGGCTCCCTGTCCCAATTCCAAAGAATCCATGGCTGTGTTTGAGCAGCACTGCAAGATGGCCCAAGAGTACCTGAAAGTGCAGACAGAGATCGCCCTGCTGATCCAGAGGAAGTGAGTCTGGCTGCTCCCGGGGGTCACCATTAACCATTAACCCTTGTTTTGGGATTTAGAAATATTCAGTAGAATTTGTTCAGAACTCTGATTCCTTGTATAAATCATAACAGCAGGAAGTGACCCCACCAGTATGTCTCTCAGGTTGGAGTGAGTCATCTAAAGATGATCTTCCCACAGCGAGAACACATCCACAACTCCTTTTTTAATGTTAATGAGTTGTGTTCAAAGGAATCCCCTCAAACCTCAAAGGGCTGAAGCCCTGTTGGAAGGATCCATCCATGACAGCAACCATCCCATCTGAGGGGAACTGCAACTGAGTTACCAGTAGTGAGGTTTCCTTTAATAAGAAGAACAGTGGGCCATCGCTGTGCACTAATTAGGAATCCCTGATGTATGTTACAATGTCAGTGTGGGAGCTGGCTGTATATAACTCCAGCTTTAACATGCACTGAGGTCAGATGGGTGACCGTAAAGGATTGATGATTTGTTAGCTCTCTGCAGCAGTCCAGAATGATGCTCTGTGTGTTTGGGCTGCATATGGGTGTGGAGGTTAGCACCCTCATTCCATAGCATGAAAGTGTCTGCATCAAATCTTTGATTATTTTTGGAAGGACAAAGTTTTAGGAAGTAAAGTTAGTTTGTCTATTTAGTGTGGTCACTTAGGTGCTATACAGGGCTTTTGAATCGGTTTTAAAATCATAGAGCAGAAAAAGAAAAGACAAAACCAGAAAACAAGTTGATATCGCACACAATATCCCTTTGTTGTGTAACTAGCATCCATACTGAGCGGCTCACTGCTTTACCAGAAGCACGCCTGCATCACAGTGTAATGCTCATTTAATGTCTGAGCGTTAGCTCTGTCCGGGTCCTTTAGCAGAGGAGGGGCATAGGCCTGGGCGTCTGTGGTCTGGAGAGAGG